CTTTTCAAAATTAGGATAAAAAAATTAAAATAAGTTTTGGATTTTAAACGGAAGAGCTAATTAGCCTTGGGTAAGAAAATAATTACTCTTGGAGTAAGCGGATTGCGATCCGCTAACTCATACTTGCTCTAAGTATAGAATGAAAGGTCAGTGACCTAAATTACGCTTCCTTGAAGCGCTAAGCTACGGCAGCCCGCTGCAGAAGGTATCGGTGGCGAACATGCTTCTCAAAGACCCTTCATGAAGATATTAGCACTTTTGCCTTCGAGAGACGGTCTGACCTCACCTTGTCGATGAGAGCTCGCATCTCGGGAGCACAGAACACTAATTCTTGCTCTTCCAAGACTAGCGGTGAAAAGTTTTGGGCGAACACGGTATGACCTATTTCGGCGGTGCAAACACCTGCGACTGATGTCGCGGTAACTTTGAGTATGCTAGAGAAGGCCTCTACTATAAGTGTACCGAGTGCACTAAGTTCCCATTCTCGCACGTGTCTCCTGGCTTGATGACCTGTAGGGCGACGCGCTTTATCTCTGTATGGAGCATGGGACTAATTTAGCTTTTTTACAGAAATAGAAATTTTCTAGCCCTCAAAAGGCTGAACTTTTTGTATCTTAATTAATATGTGAAAACAAAACCCTGTTATTGATGTATTACCCACAAGATTACTTACTGAAAAAGTAGCACATCCAAATGTGTTAATGAGACCTTATACTGCCATGGTGGGGAATACTTCGAAAGGTTGAAAGCTGCATTTGTCGAAGAGAATGTAGAAAAAATAGTAGATATATTTGAGTGATCATATCTACATAGTGTACACGCTTTGCGTCGAATAAGTAGTGCGCATGGTTATGTAAGTAAAGCAACAAAACCACCTCAATACACTGAGATTTTGTCTGATTCTAGAGTAAACACTCGAACCACTTCATGGGCATCTTCGTTCTATCAAGAAGTGCATCGCCTGCTCTAAAAGCCAGGTCGTAGTGATTAAGCCTTGACGAGTAGAAGCGGTCACGGAAGTCGTTACCGAAGTTGGATGCGGGAAAGCCCCCAGCGCAGCTCGAAAACTCGACGGCTCCGTCGCTTTCACGAGACTTGTGCGGTATTATTCTGCCCAACACCCAAAAGGCGGCTTGATACCTCGAAAGTACTCCGGAAAAGCTGTGGCTACACATCAGGGCATATACATTGTCGACATATGCCTTTTGGGCTGCCTTGTAGGCCATTTTAAGCTTATTGTTACTGTATGTTCCGTTGACATATGCCATAGATTTAATGCCTTCCTTTGGAGGACAAAGTTCTGCAAAATTGGCGAGTTTTTCGACGACTAAGGTAGTTTTATTAACGCAGACATCTTGAAGATAATCTGAGCCCATTGTGCCATAAATTGGGGTTCCTGTGCTGACCCACGTCGAACTTTTGTTCAAACTGCACCTTCCATTTGCGATCGCTCCTGCTAACAAGAGTCCACCCATAGAGTACGAAAAGATAATCGTATCTGAGATTATTGATCCTTCGCTCGTAGCGCTCTCTATGAGAATATGATCACACACTTTTTGTTGCAATTGAGCGTCGGTCCAAAACACTTTTGTTGTGTTAAGCACTGCGTACTTTGTCGACGAACAGCATGGCGTATGGCCAGTAATTTTCCCCCAGTAACTAAACGAGTCTTGATTCTTCTCTTTCTCCACAAGACTACCAATGCCAGAAATGAAAACACATGGACGCGGTTTGGACTTACATGTGCATGATGCAGGAAGTAAAATCTCAATTGCGGTTTTCATCTTCCTCTTATGGCTGACAGGTAGTGGTTGTCCAACTAATAGAGATTTTCCAATCGACGTGACTAAAGTCGGCAACGCCACCTTCTTGCACTCACCCTCGATTTGGCCATTTGTCTTATATATCGTAATCGGCCAATCAGTCTTCACATACTCCACATTGATATCTACATCACTGCCATACATAGTGAAGCCGGAAGACTCTGAGAAACAAAGGCCGAAAAGGATGCCATTCACTAAAACTTTAAAGGTACTCCCGCTCGAACACGAGATTTCTGTGCCATCACTATCACGTATGTTTGAAACTCTCTCTGCGCTATTAAGCGCTGTCACAATCGAATTGATGGGTGGGAGAGTGGGCGAATCAATACACTGTATGAGTGGATTGTCGTGTTTTTTGTTGAGGTAGGTGCGAGACACGTACGCCACTCCATCCACGAACGAGTAGTCGAAAAGAGTGTCGTGTTCTTTAAATGAAGCGAATGTGTCGTACAGGACTTTAGTCGCGTCGCTCAAAAGATTGGGAGTGGCGAGAATGGAGAAATTGGAGTGACCGTGTACTCTCGTGACAGATCGCTTGATGGAAAAATGAAATCGTAAAGACGACCAATCGGCACTTGTAGTATCATTCACATTAGTGTTTTTGGTAGCAGCGAACGTCAGCAAGACGGCAAATGCAATGGCGAGTATAGATCTCAAACGACAAGCTGCCATAGTCACGGCAGTGACGAATGTTTGCCGTGGTGATCAGAATTTGTTGCACGCTTTTTGCAAAAGTGACATGTGATTAAATCACAGAAGTTAGCTATCGACTATACCACCGGACCGTACCTCCATGGTCCATATCCTGCATCTTCCATCCGCTCAGGATTGTGGTAAATTCACTTTTTCAACCAATATCGTTGACATTACCGATGTGGATGGTAGCGGCCTTTACAGCACTATTTGGAGCGACCACGGCTCAACATTACGAACATTTAAGCCTACAAAGTGGCCTCCAAAATGTGGCGGTAAAGCCTTGGCCCGCTCTTCGATTTCACATTTCAGTCAAGCACAGCTCTTTGATGGTTCACGGGCAGTCGAAGTTTACCATTTTTGCCAATCCTGTAGTTTTCAACAATGGGACTACGAGTGTGCTGTACGATACTATCGCCACTTTTACTGAAAACTCGACCGTCTATCAATATACCCAAGTGAACGGCATCTCGTACGTATTAAAAAGTCACGTGGAGGGTAGCAGAGCCTCTCATTCTGTAAAGTGCTTAGAATCAGACAATTTACCGTCGGTAAATTCATTCGTTGCTGGACTACAAGAAGTTTTCCCTTTATCTGAAGTCTCGTCCGGCAGTAATCATGTGTTTGAGTGTTCCAGCAAGAACAAATTCAAGGTGTATATAAGTGGAGTAACGTTTGGACTCTGCGATTTAAGTTCTACAGGATTTTTTATTGCTGGCAGTGAGATAAATATCAAGGTTGAGTACTCAAAAGACAGGAAGGACATCCATGTCCCAACTCAAAGGGCGACTTTGGCAGCTAATTGCACAGTGGTGGCATCGCCATCCTTAGTGACTTCAACGGGAAAATTGATACTGACAGGTCAGCCGATTGCTAGGGAAAGCACGCGAATTCTGAAGGCTGATATGGATGTTAGAAATCACGAAAGGAATTCTTCATGTTCGTGCAAGTCAACACCACGTCCGTGCATTTTCATTCATGGTCAAGGCATCAAAATAGAAATGGCAGAAAATCAGGACACGTTTCCTACAATCTATTGGGGGAATATGACAAACCACGCTCCCTGTTGCACTTCGATTAAGTACGCAGTTCTCAACACAGTGAATTACTCCTGGACCGATGATAGTCAACAACAGAAAGTATGCGATCGAGCACTTGCAGTGAGTGAAACGAGTACTAAATCCAAGATTTCTGATACTATCATTATTACACACTCGATGGGCGCGTTGATGCTCAGTGGCGCCATAGCCAAAGGAAAGTGTAGCATTGCTGCGAGTTCAACTTGGATTAGTACTGGAGCTCCTATGAGAGGTAACGTGGGCTCGAAGTATCTACTTGATTCCTGCGATGGCAAAACTAATTTAATAATGGAGATGATTGCAAAAAAAACTGGGAAGTGTCCTGTTAGCGCATCAATTCGATCTCTTGTTTACGAAGGTAGTGACTACGCATCCGCTGAGCTGAATCAAGCGTACAAGGCCGCGCAAGAGGTGTATCGAACCTATGTATATGCAGCGATGTGCAGCTATAAACACTCTGGACTCATTTCAAGATATCAATGGCAATTCTGGGTGCTAGGCAGCATATTTCCACATCTGTCTTCTCAAAATGATGGTCTGGTGGATTTTCACAGCTGCGCCGGTGGAATCCCGGAATCCAAATTTGGCAAGAACTATCGTGATCAGTTCTACCTGACAAAACTTAATCATATCGACTTGGCTTTTCTCAGCGGCGATGCATTATTTGATGAAGCGAAAATGCCAGTTAAATGGTTCGAGTGTCTCTTATAAAGCTAGGCAGGTAATAAATAGAAGGATAATTCCTAGAAGATATCGAACGTAAAGTAGAGACGAACAGAATTTTAAGTCGAACTATGACAGAAACTTTGGTGCAATACGTTTGATGATCGGTTACGTGCAGTGTAGCACTCTTATTCAGGATCGACTTTGTGGCTGTATTCTGAGTTCATATTCGGAAATGATAGGATGATTATAATGGGTATATACCGGTCGTAAATGATGGTGTGTCGGCAAGCAGTGCACTGTAACCCTTACACACATTGAACACTAGAATTTTGAAACAATTGTACCGTATTAATGCGGAAACGTCGGTATTTATGAAGACCGAAAACTTGGAGCATGTGGCATGAAAAAAACAAGACAGCTTTGTTATAAAAGATAAGTCATGCGTATACATATTTGCATTAGTCTAAGCGGCAGTCATTCTATATATATAATTTTTAAAAAGCAGAGCCAACTAAACTAGTTAAGGTAGAAGCGAAAAACGTAACCTATGAGCGGATGTCAGTGCGGACTCGAGCGTAGGAACCTCTGTCGTGCAAAGTGTACGACATATCCGTTACACTTGTAGTCAATTCCACGATAGTCGTGGAAGGACTGTATCCTCCGCAAGTATAGAGTACGAACTATGTAACGAGGTTACACATACCCTTATATGAAAGGGCGGGATACACAAGATGGTGTGACTGGACATGGGTGTGGATTACACAAGTTGGTGTATTCACAGAATGGTGTGGCTACACCGTAACAAGAAGCCACTACGTGGCAGGACTGCCAGAAGTCAAGCTCGGGGGCCGAGCGCGAGAATGGGCACTAACGTATGGTGCTTCCATTGAAACGGCGTTCCCCTCCTAAAGGAGCTGAAGCGTCAGCTTTTGCGAGTGTTCTCGCCGTCTTGGTATATCGCGTGCGATCGCGTTTCCTTGCTGCCCGATAGGGTTAGAAGGAGTTGGTGGACTTTGTCCAAGGATTGGGAACTCTCATTTTGGGATGGCAGCCGATTCTCTCCCCGAGGCGGTCGCAGTGACCGTCTTTATGGAGGGCCTCCGCACTGGCGTGGCCAGAATGGAAGTCTTCCGTGTGCACCCATCTTCTTTTGGAGAAGCGGTGAATATGGCATTGAATGCCAAATTAAACATTAAGTCGGCACGACTTGGTTGGAATGCACACCCCCAGAACTCGTCGAGCGAGACTGAGCCTATGGATATCAGCTATGCTGAGAAAGAGGAGGGAGAAGTTCAAGCTGCCGAGCAGCGTTTAAACACCCGACAATGTTTTGTTTGTGGAGATATCCCATACCGTCGGACTACTTGTCCCCTGCGCAAGGCGCATAAAGGTTCGTCGAACCGACGTCCCGCTTCAAACCAGTTTGAGCTATCGCGGGGAAACGAAAAAACAGTAGGCGCGGGGCGCCCTACTCGGGAAGAGCTGAGTTCTCGTGTGCCTCAAAGAGGTAGAGGGCAGCAGGACCCAGCTCTGAAGAGCTGCGTGCTTTGGAATACGAATGATGTATGCCACAATAGTCATTGCATGAATGAGAAGCACTAGCTCCAATTCACAGGAATTCAGGGCTGAGGGGGAGATGTGTCAACACCCGCAGTGTTCATGAGGATTCTGATGGTGGAGTTTCTTACTTCTGTACCTTGTCCTCATCATTTCGATTCTTCTTGGAAAACATGCTGTATCAATATAAAGACTTATTTTAGCCTTCAATCTATTTTCCTAGAAGTTTCAAGCACTTTTTCAGCTTCTGAATGTAAAACAAGTAACTATTACAGTATATTACTTCTCAGCGCTTTTCTGTCGCTAACCATCCATGCACAAGGCAGATAACCGCGAGCTGCGTCTGTCGTGTCCCGTGACTCCCAGCACAGCAGACGATGTAGACACTCCGGACGTGATGTTATTATCGGCGCACCAGTCCGAATGGGTTAGTGCAATGACCTTCGTTCGCGCCGAGACGCCTAGTCAATTGCGTCAACGGTTTATCCAAATTCAAGTGACTGACCAACGATATAAGGAACCGTCATGGATGCATCCGAACATTGGTGGAGAAGCGCAATATGTGCAAGGACGCGAACAAGAGATTGATATTATTCGAGAAAAACTAGCAGTGAGCGAAACTACAAATAAACTTGGAGAGTGGACGGCCACTTCCATCAGTGGCAATGCGATCCTCTCCAGTGTTTTGTTCTCAGCAGGCCAAACTGTTGCAAAAGCAGGAAAGTTAGCACCAGTAGCGCAACTGATTGTCGTTATTGTTGTCTTTTGTCTCCGTTGGGTCTTCGAAGAAGTGTTGAGTGCAGTTCCGCTGAATGGAGGTTTCTATACATCCATGCTCAACTCGGCTCCTAAAAAGGTTGCTGCAGTGTTTGCAGTCTTCAGTATGCTTTCGTACTTATCGACGGCTGTGGTAAATGCCATCTCAGCTATAAATTACGTGAACGAGTCGCTAGTAAATATTCCTGTTATGAGCTGCACCGTTGCATTGCTCATTGTGTTCGCACTGTTGTGTTTGTTGGGAATTGCCGAGAGCGCATTCGTAGCGCTCATTTTTTTCGCATTTCACACATTTACGCTCATTCTTTTGGGTGTCTTTAGCTTGGTATACGCAGCGCAAAACACTTCAATCATTGTCGAGAACATGGAGACATCTCTTCCACAAGTGACGCTATTAAATGGGGCCGCAGAAGCTAGCAATATTGTGTCCGCTTTGTTTTTGGGTTACGGTACAGCGATGCTTGGGGTCACAGGCTTCGAAAGCTCGTCACAATATGTGGAAGAGCAAGCGCGTGGCGTCTTTCCGAAGACTCTAAGAAACATGTGGATATTATCTAGTGTATTTAATGTGGCGTACTCGTTACTGGCACTGGCTGTTGTTCCTCTGGACATAATCATCACCAATCAATCGACACTGCTGGCGTACATGGGAAGACTTAGTGGTGGCCATTGGCTGGAAATTCTTGTTGCAGTTGATGCACTAGGAGTGCTCGCTGGTGCGGTTCTCGCCGCATACGTAGGAATTAATGGTCTGTTTCAGCGTCTAGCTATTGACCGCGTGTTGCCGAGCTTTTTACTGAAAGTGAACTCTCTACGTGGCACATATCACTATATTATTCTCGTTTTTTGTATCGCGGCTTCGAGTCTCGTATTTATCCTAGACGCTGAAGTGAGAGTACTTTCAGGTGTTTTTGCACTGGCATATCTCTGTGTGCTATTATCATTTATTATTGCATGCCTGTTATTGAAAGTGTATCGCGAGGAAATTCCGCGCACGAGAAGATCGTCGTGGGTCAACACATGCTTTTGTCTTGGAATGATCATCTTGGGGATTCTGGCAAACGCTATCTCGGATGTTAAAGCACTTTTGTACTTTTTCATTTACTTTGCTGTATTTCTTGTCGTAATTTTTCTTATGTTAGCTCGCGTCAGTCTCCTAAGAGGGCTTCTGTACATTTCGCGAAGGTTTATGTTCTATCGGTGTAACAATGAAGGTAATGGAGCACCACTGCAGCAGCATTTCGTTGGTCGTCACAACTTTGTTGGCAGCATCAAAATTGCCAAAACTATCGAGTCAATAAAAAATACTCCTGTTGTATTTTTTTGCAAAGTGGCCAATTTACCCAAAATCAACGAAGCTGTGCGCTATGTCATCGAAAATGAAGACACGTATTGTCTTCGGTTAGTGCACGTTTGCGAGCTAGATGCACCCGTGCCACGAGAGTTTGAGGATGTTGTCAACCTTTTCGACCACATTTACCCATCCATGAAAATTGACTTTATTGCTGTGACGGGTGCATTTGATCCCGCAATGGTGCAGTGGCTTTCCAAGTCTATGGAAGTTCCGACTAATATGATGTTTATGCGGCAACCAGCAAATGAAAATATCCATCGTGTGTCGCTGTTGGGCGTGCGAGTTATAACTGACTGATCGGCTAACAAATAGATTAGGCAACATACCACATCAAATCATTTACATACGGATCAGAGGTGGAATACGCGTTTATCAACATCAAGTAATGCGCGGACCGACCTCATGCTCGTCGTTGGAGATCTGCTCTCTGTTCGTGGCAAATCACAATAGATGAAAGGTGACACAATATAGTAAACACAATATATAGTACCAATAAGCAGGCCTCTTCAAAGTAGTCATTTGACTATTTTGACAATTTTCCAGTAATATAG